TCAACACATTTTTATCGAAGCTCACTGAGTTTTCCACAAATTATGACTTCAGAGAATATTTCAACAAAAAAAGTCTATTTCAGTAAACAAACTTATCCATTCTAACGATTTCACCCAAGTCCATCAAGATTAATTTTAGCAAGTGCAGGTTATCTTTGGGTGCTGCTTCATTTGCTCTACAGTTACTGAGGTTTAATATAAGCTTTGGGTAAAAAGCAAAACTTCCAGCTGGCTGTTCCAATCCACAAGGAAGCAGACGCTCTCTGTGCTGCTGCTGAAAGCCAGAAGAGTACAACTACAGGAAGCCCTCCCTGCTTCCAAAACATGGCTACTTGTCTTCCTAAGCTCCTCTTCTCTTTTCATAGCTCCAGACATCACATTCCATCTGGCTGAGTCAGGCTGTGTGAGACCTCCTGATCTCATGTAAATCTTGTATGACCAGACACAGCTCTGCAACTTACTCAGATTTCAAAATAACATGTACTATGGGTATTTGCCATGGGCAGATAATCTGTGAACAGGTCCAAGACACTTTCCTAGGATTAAGGAGTTAATGAGAATGCCAATGCCACCACATCCCAGCTGAAAGCTCTAATGCTATACATTAGTTGACAGTTAACATTTATTACACGTGGACATTCACACTCTAGGTGGGTAAAATAATCATTGGAGCAAAGGAATTTATCACCATGTACCTCAGTCATTCACCATCTGAAACTTTATACAGTATTTAGACTCCTTGAACACATTCAAATCAAGACAGAAAAACAGCCGTTGAATAATTGCCCTAAACAAACAGCTTAAGTACAGCATTTGGGCACCCTGCAAGTGTGCACCTGCCGAAATTTATGGCCAGAAGAGCTAAAATTCAGCCCTGGATCAGCAAATTGGCTTTTAGTACATAAATACAGCAGAATTTAAGATTATGCTGTATCAAACCCTGTCATGTTAGGCTTCATGTGTGAGAAGGAGTAATCTGCCGATTTTCCTGGGAGACACAACATATCATTTACATTCTAGACTGGTGGAGACAGTGCTTCTCAGCCAGCTCCAACATGCACACACAGGGAAATGAAGGGAGAAAGTATGCGTGCACACTTGTGAGTGTGCCAGTTTGTTTACAGAGAAACAACTACCCAGACAAGAAGAAAAAACCAGCAAGCATAGCTGTCCCGGAACGGGGGACAGCACCAAGAATTATTTGAGTATTTGTCCATGGTTTCACTACTGAGGAGTTTTTGTGTCCCTCATCAAATCATCTAGGGAGCTACAGGCCCACCAACTTCACCTTAGTTCCTGGGAAGCTGGTACAGAACTTAATCCTAGGCACATTAACAATAAGAAAATCGTCATGAGTAGCCAACCAAGAAAAAGTCATGCCTGAACAACTTGTCAGACTTCTGAGATGAAGTAGATCTATCTGGCCTGGTAGATGAGGGAAGAACAGTGGTAGAAAATATCTGGGACTCCAGTAAGGCCTTTGACACTGCCTCCCACAAGATCTTCACAGAGGAACTGCTGCTACAGGGAATGGATGAGCAGTGAGAAGGACTGAAAGCTGGCCAGGCTCAGAGGCTGGATGTCAGTGAGACAAATCCTAGCTGGATGCCAGAGACAAGGAGTGGGGCACAGGGGTCAGTACTGCATCCTGATTAAGATATTAATTAATGACCTGGATGATGGGGCAGACTTTACATTCAGTTTGTGGGTGACACATCTGGAGCACTCAGGGGGCATTTTATCAATGGGAAGGGAAGGTCCAAAGACGACAGAGCCAGGCTTCTTTTCACTGGTGGCTAGTGACAGAACCAGAGGTAATGTGCACTACTTGAAACACAGGAACATTAGGAAACATTTTTTCGCTTGTGACAGCGACGGGGCACTGGCACAGGTTGCCTGGGGAGTATGCAGAATTCCCTCCTTAGAGATATTCAAAACCTGTCTGACACACTCCTGGGCAATTGGCTCTAGGTGTCCCCACCTGAGCAGCACATGAGCCATGTGACCTCTAGAGGTCCCTTCCAGCTTCACCAATTCTGTGTCTGGGAAACAAACAACAAAACTCCCCAAAATGAAACAAAACAGGAAAACCACAGTTTAAAAAAAATGAAGAACAATACTTAGACGTCATTTCCAATCTCTGGAAACAGCACCTACCCACTCTACAAGAGCATCAGCACATTTTCATTCTATATTTACATGTGTGGGTGGCATAATTTACACAAACACACACATATGCACACACACAGAGAGCTGCAGAACTTAAAAAAAAAAAAAAAAGAATTCCTCAGCAACAGGCTGACATATTTTATCAAAATTCTCCCAGAGAGAAATGTGCACAGATCACTCACTTTTAGGGATTGTCTGCACCTGTAAAGTGGCTTTCTGCATATGCTCACCATTATTATTTTTTATCTTTTCATAGATAAGACAATCCTATGCTGAATGCTAAAACTCCTGAAAAGAGAGGGATGAATATGCACTCGCAATTAACTGGATTTAATAAATTCCTAATTTTCTCTTACATACTTTCTATTCTCTTTTTAAAGTCACACCTTTTAGCTTGATTAACCAAAAACACTCAACTATAACGTTTAAGTAAAAATAACCAACAATATGTCATTAGAAATATTACATTCCGTTCCCTTATATCCCAGTATCTCTAACTTCACGCACAGTGCAATCCCATCAGCCTAAACCCACATGCTTGAGCTGCATCTGGTCCAAGAGCAGCCATGCAGCCAGCCCTCAGTATTTTCCATGGATTTCAAAAGCACTTCTGTGCAAGAGCACAACCTACACAGAATACAACCTGTATTTTGGACACCTTCAATTCGGTAACATTCACACTCTAGGTGGGTAAAATAATCATTGGAGCCAAGGAATTTATCATCATGTACCTCAGTCATTTGCCATCTGAAACTTAGTACAGTATTTAAACTCCTTGTGCTGACAAAACCTCGACACAACCAGAGTATGCAATCAGTATGTACATTTCAGTAATATTGCACCTTGCTACAGCACATTTGGATCTCCAAGGGGTTTAAGGTACCTGGAAATTCAAGAAAATGTATGAAGGCACTAAATCCACACTCCTGAGTTCTACTCCTTTTTTGGGTTGCCATTTAGTGATTTCTATGTTGAATATACTCACTTCACTGGTAACTGGATTTTGCTATTTTTTAATTATTACTTTGTCTGTTTTTTCATGTCTTGCTGGATCATTGACTGCCATCAGCAGAAGATTCTTCCAGCCAAATTATGTCTCCAGCTATACCTGAGTGACTCTGCTCAATTTAGCTCAGCAACAGGAACTCAATTAAAAATTCTGTTAAGAAGGTGCTTGCCAGAAAATACTCATCACAGCAGAGTGGCATTCACTTTGTAGCACTGATAGGAACATGAACTAATAAAACCTTTTTTTTCACGCTAAAATGAATTGCCTGGACTCTCACTAGACAGTAGGAGCAATTGACATAAGATGAGAATCATATCAGTGGGCACATCTGTTCTCCAAGATTTACTCTATTCAGACAATCACTTTCCCAATTAAAAACCACATCAAATAAAGGGAAGCTCCATTACTACATCAGAATATAGAATTTAAATCGACTTACCCTGCCAGAGACAAACTGTATGTAAATGCACCCAAAGTTATTCAGAAAACTCAGACAGCATAAAAGTTTTCACTGTTCTTTCCAAACAGAGCCATTTAAATTATTTTGACCTTTAATCCATTTCTTGAATAATTTCTACTATTTGTGTGATTACACACAGTGCAGCTAAATGTTTTTTTTCTACACAGAGCTAAAATTACTCTTTTTTAGGCTGTTTTATCACCCTAAATTTCAATTACATGGACACACTGATTTTGTAGCACTAAAACAATGGTGAGAGTTTTATTTCTATTTATAGTCTGGTTTTCTACCAGGGATATGTGTAGTGGTTCTACAAGAGCAAACTAAGAAAAGAAGAAATATGCCATCAAGAACCCTTTAACTTTCCTAGGCTGTGCTGGCCTGAAATGGAAAAACTTCATAGGTCAAAACAATTGGAATAAATGGAATAAACTTCTTAAAGTCTGAAAAACTTGGCTGAAAACGCTAAATTAAAAGACCCCTGAATTTAAGACTTTGCTTTCTGCATATGCTCACCATTATTATTTTTTATCTTTTCATAGATAAGACAATCCTATGCTGAATGCTAAAATTCTTGAGAAGAGAGGGATGAATATGCACTCACAATTAACTGGATTTAATAAATTCCTAATTTTCTCTTACATACTTTCTACTCTCTTTTTAAAATCACACCTTTTAGCTTGATTAACCACAAACACTCAACTATAATTTTAAAGTAAAATAACAAAAAATGTCATTAAAAATATTACATTCCATTCTATGTTCTATAGTTACAATTTGAATTTCTTTAAGACATCATGTTTCCAGTTATCAAAGAAATTATTTCCGTGATCAGGTAAAATAACACAAGCAGGATTTTTATCAAACATGCAACCTGCAATACAAGGCAAATTGATAATACAAATGCATTGGTTTTAATAACTGCAACAAGGAATCCAACTGTAATGCTCAAAATTTGCAAATCAAGCTACTCTGTCACCAAATCCCTTGCCAGCTAATGATAAATCCTCCTCTCTTCCACAGTATTCCTCTTTATATTGTAGTGTCTCGTGGCCACTATCATTATCAGTGCTATTATATAGCTTTCATGAAAAAATAAGGCCTAAAGGGAAAAGTTTGATGATGCTTCTTTCTTTATTCATCTTGATTTTTAATCTAGATTCCAAAGGGAAGTTCAAAGTTTCTGATTCAAACTGTGTTAGGGTTAATGGAAAATCTCCCTTTACTCTTGCAAGATTATGCCACAGGCTTCAAATTGCTGTTTCTCTTTACTGTTCTTGCTATTTCAATTTTGCCCTCAGCAGTTTGTCTACACCATCCTAAAGTGCCAGAAGAATCAATTTTATTTTATTAAACACTCACCTCAAACCACTGGCCGTGTGACTGCATTTTAAGGATGACACAGGGATCTGGTTTTGAGAGGGCATCCCTGTCTGATATGCCTTTGCATGCAACTCGCAACTCCACTTTAGTCAGGCATGGGCTGTTAAAAATTCCCAGGGTGTTAGCTGCTGATTCATAGATGTTGCTCATTTTCTTCATTCCTTGTTCTGAAAGAGAGAAAAGGTCTGTTAAGGACGGTCCACACAAGGTACAGCCCCTCCTTCCACACAGTAACAGTGAATGAGAACCAGAGCAAGAGGGCAAAGAATAAAATCAAAGGAATACCTATAGAAAAAAGAAATATTCATCTCATATGTTCATAAGTAAGCCAAATTCAGAATGATATGTCCCACCATGCCTCTGAACTTTGGGGGTGAACTGGGACCTCGACTTCCAGCTCTGCTCCTGCTTATAGAGCCACATCTCCCTAGGTCACAGGTTAGATAGACAGGATGGTAATTCTGTGTTTCTTATGATAACATGTTGACAAGGGTAAATTAAATTTTCTCAGTACTCCTGAAATCTGCTTTTATTTCCCTCTATTCCTTCTAAAGAGTGTGCACTTCTTCTTACATAAACTTTTGGCATAAATGCCATAGAAGGCCCCTTTCATACCAACCTTAAATTCCAACACACATTTCACTGTTTCCACACTTACTGCAGCAGATTACCTGCCTCCATTCCTAAGCAAGTAGCCAAGATTGATGCTCTGTACAGAAGGGCAGGATATTTATGCTGCCACATCTCATTGTCGTAGAGTGTTTGCTCTTCTGGGTCAGGAATCAGAGTTACATGAGCACAGATAGCTGGAACAACAGGGACCTCCAACCCTTACTTCATTATGAACACCACCACCAATCTTGTAGCTCAAGAATTTCTCTCAACAGAAGCAACAAAAATATTTTAACACAGAGCTTAACAAAAATCCCTATATGACCATTTCTGCATCAATCAAGAATGTGGGAACACTCTAATTGGCATATTTGCTCTGAGCTTCACAGCCTGACCCTTTAAAAATTTGCTTCCTGATACATGGATTAGTGCCTTCATCACTTTACCCCATACATAACAGCCACAAAAAAGGAATTTCATACTTCTAGCAGGTAGATTTGTCTTGCCATTTTATCAGCAAGGCATTTTAGCTGTCTGTTTCAAACCTTTTCACTGTCTATTCCACAACACCCTTTTCTCAGAGGTTAATGATTTTTGAAAATTGTTTCGAAAAAAATTACATTTCAGAGGTATGGAAATGAAAGTGAAGGCTTTTTCCCCCCAAATCTGCTAAGTTAAAAATAAACTTAAAAACTGCAAAATCATGCCTATCCAGTTTTCCTGTGAATTAGAAAGGTAAAATTAGAAAGGTATTTCTCAATTCCTAGTAAGGGGAGTTGGCAATAGAGTTTCATTCACAGAAATGTATGTCTGAGTGATGAGGCAGATTACCTGCTCCCCTGGCAGAAGGGATAAAAGCTTGTTAACAACTTACAATTCTTCAAATCTGTACAACAACTCACTGTATGAGCATTCATCTGCTGTGACTACCCCACTCAGATATAAGTGAAGGGAGCCTGAGTGGACCCCAACCACTCTCTGAACGAACCTCAGGCTCCTCAGGCATATTTGAAATGTGAGCCCCACCACAAACATAGTGCCCGACATCTTAAGATCAAAACAGTCACCTTCAGCCCCTCCCAGTTACTTGTAAATATTGTCACCTAAACTACTGTTCCTTGGACTTACTGCTAGGAAAGAAACAGGACTGAGAAAATGGGCAAAACTGAACAACACATGGAAAAGGTAGTGATATTGGGCTACGTTATAAAGCCAGGGACTGGAGAGACTGTTGTCTAATTATTCATCATTTTGTAATCCCATCTCCTTCAGAAAGCTGCTCAACAAGCTCATCCCACACATTTACAAGACGTTTTTACATGTTGCCCTTTCCAAATTGAAATCCATTTGAAAATTGGGTTAATTCTGTCTCATACACATCATACATCATTAATAAAATGTCATCCTTTGTGCAGAAATAGGCTGGTGATTTAATTAAACTGGATGATTTCAGCACTGAAGAGAAGAGCAAAAAGTAGCAGAGTGAGGGGGAGAGATGTATTTTTCTTCCTCCTACAATAATTATACATTGGTTTTTCAGAACAGCAGGTAAGTATAAAAATTATATTTCTTTTTATCACTACAACTATTATTTCAGCTTTTGCAAGTTCTAAATTTACCAATGGAAATTATCAAGCTACAGCCTTATTCTTTTGTCTCATTATATTCTTCTTGTAATATAATCACCAGCTTGGGTTGTTGTGCTGATGTCACATCACCAGGAAGCTGGAGACCCGGAAAATAGATTTTGAGCCCACTGAAAGTGGCTAAAAATGGTATTGTTTTGCACAAACATAGAGAAGTTGGATTGCATAAGACATTTTTTGTCAATTAACTATGCACATTATTGATGGAGGAAAAAAATTATTCATTTTTCTTTGCTACAAACTCTTCCTTTTTCAGTTCATTAGAACCTTGTTATTCCTTCAAGGTCCACACAGTTTTGATATTCACTGAACAAGAGCTGTGCCCAGGAGAGGAAAGCAATAGCACAGATACAAAAAGTAAGTGATAGGTCACATTTGTAAAGCTTTCATTTCATCATTGCATACATTCTCTCTCATTTCCTCAGGAAAACAGGAAAGTGGATTATGTGCTTCCCACTCAAATTTATTAGTCAGTGCTAGACTGAACAAGAATGGGGAAGCAAAAACTGGCATTCTGTCTTCACCTCTCCATGGTAAAACATCAAGGAAACAGTACCAAGTGGAAAAAAAAATTTAAAATAGCACTATGCTGAAATTGAAACGTACTAGGCTACAAAAAACCCCAAAAAACAAACCAAACCCACCAAAGGAAAACAAAAAACAAAAACACCCAAACCACACCAAACAAAAAAACACCAAAGAATGTGTCGGCTACAAAGAAAAAGTGAGAACCTTGAAGACAGGTCTCTGCCTTCAGTCTCCCAAGCATATTCTATATCTGGCATACTTAGAGCTAATTTTCTGGAAATTAATGTGCTCTTTTGACCTTTATAAAGGGATTCACGGCTCAAAGTGATCTTACTGATATATATGATGAGACGGGGAAACACAAAGCCAAATGCTTGTCAGTAGTGCCCACTGACAGGACAAGAGGCAACTGGCACAGACTGAAATTCAGGAAATTCTGATTAAAGAAAAGGAAATTTTTTACTATAAGTTTGGTTCAACACTTGAACATGCTTCTCAGAGAACTTGTAGGGTCTTCATGTTTAGAGATATCCAAAACTTGTCTGGACACAGCTCACTTTCAGCACAGGCTTAGAATAGATGATCTGCAGAGGTCCTTTCCAACCTCTTCTACTCTGTGACTAAGCAGCAAAAAAATCAAATTAAAAATTTTTTAGGGTACAGATTGTCTCTGTGATATGTTGCTGAACTAATTGATTATTTGAGGCCCTTGGCTCCAAAGCCATGCAGAAAATCAAAATATATACATAAGCCCAGCATTTCTGATACAAAGTAGGGCTACAAAGGCTCCCATGTGTAGGTATTTCATTAAAAGCACAAAAGTTCAGAAAGTTGTGCCTGCCTAGATAACAGGATTGTGATGAAAATCAGTATTACACATTTGACAGCTACATCTTTCTCTATTCAGGGGGATTAAATGGCATAAAAATGTTCAGTTGTCTAGTGCATGCAGAAGTAAGGATCTTTGTGACACAGAACACAGCCAGTACATGCCTCTCTCCAGGAGCTAAAAGACTTGAATTCAGCTCACCCAACCAGATCCAACCTCATTGTAAAATGGTGATCCACATAACCTCACTACCAACTCAGAACCAGGGTCCTTAGATCCACCATGAAATAAACCTAAGATGCTATCTGAATTCTGTTTTCAAGTTTACTCCTTTGCCCACAGTGTCATTTTGCCCTCCTGCACACAGACCATGTCCAAAAAGCTTTTCTGCAAGTTGTCTGTGTGAAAAATGAAGAGATTGCTCTCTACAGCCCCTTGTGAAGAATGAGGGGAACATTCACACTCAGCCTCACCTTCAGTTCAGGTAATAAGTGAGCAGCAAATGAGAAAGATGCTGAGATTAAAAGCAGTCACCAATTTGCTTTGCATTTAGAGAAAGGTCATGTTATTTAGAAACCTGTACTCCAGACCAAACTACACACAAATGAATTTGAGGGCTGCAGGCTTCCCATCACCATATGTTGAGAGCTGTGTCTGAATTATTTTACTGCCACTTTGGTCATGAAATGAAAATGAGCTAATAGCATCTGTCTGCTTCTACAGAAGTAAACAGCAAGAGTCTGCTGCTGGAAAAGTAAATCATGTTTGCAGTATGTGCACATGATGGGAAATACTAATAGTGGATTTACATGAAGTAAGAGCTGTGAATAAGTACCTCCAAAAGAGAGCAGCCCTAAAAGCACTGGTTGTTGTGGCACTAGCTGCTCCCTACATATTTACACTTATAAATTATAAATGGGAGAGACATTTAGTATTCAAAACACATGAACAGCTTAACTCTCTAGACAGATAGCTTTGTACCTATAGTTTCTGGATCTTCCAGGGTTTAAAGTCCAATAATAGCAAGTATGAAAACCAAGTCTACAGTTAGAAGCTTAAAATTAATAAACCTCAGATCAAGTTAAACAAAATACAGTAAGAGCAAGATTTATAGAAAAGCCTGAAATTAGGCTGGGTGTTCAGGTAGAAGAGTTTTTAAAAGTTCCTCTGTTTAGTAACTTGTTCAGCTCCAGCAGAAAGTAGGCCATGCACCCCTTCAGGGAATGATGGTAATTGAGATAAGTAATTATTTTTTCTTTAAGAAATTTTATGTAATTGGGAATTCCCAGTCTCTAATAATTACTGTACCAGCTGTTGGCACCAAGGCTTCCTTGGCTGTGAAAAGCAAACCCATTCCTTCACATTCAGCTGTAAATAGCTTTTGTACAAATGAGGAAAGGTGGGAATTCACCAGGAGTTCCTGATTCAGCAAGTTCATTAAATTAATGTTCCATGTGCTTAATCAGGAGCTCACTAAGACACCTGGCTTGCCCAGGTCTGAACAGAGACCCCAGCATGACAGGGAAAGCAGACCTATCTTTATTATGATATG